TCCCCGGTGTGAGGCTAACCGCACCCGTCTGCTCGGTGTTGCGGTGGCTGCTCTCTCTCACGATCGACGTAGCAGAAGCTGAATCTGCGACCTGCCAGCGTGAGAGAGACAGGTGCGACGGGCCGCGCCCGCCGCCGCTGCAACGTTAGTCCGCCACCAGTGCCGATCACCGCCTGCCGGCAAGAAACAAGCTCTTACGCACCCCGTCGTTCAACTACCCGACTGTTCCCAAACCTAGTCAGGCCCCTCACCGCTCCAGGTCGGTCGACCCCGATGAACCTATACATACAGTCACATACGTCTACACATTCATTTATACCTATACATACAGTCACATACGTCTACACATTCATTTATACCTATACATACAGTCACATACGTCTACACATTCATATACATCGGTACATACAGTCACATACGTCTACACATTCATATACATCGGTACATACAGTCACATACGTCTACACATTCATATACATCTTTACATATAGATAGATACGACTATACAGTGACATTCTTCTATACGTACGAGTCTGGATGAGAAAGACGATTCCTTTGTGGCAATTGTACATTTGCGGGTCATTGATATAATTTTTCCTCATAAAAGGTGGCACGCGTAAGGCTGGAACGACACCTAACACATATAGACCTTACAGCTTTCAACCTCTTGTGAACAGGTTCGAGCCTACGGTTTCCATGACGACAGCGCTGCCGCGGATGCTCCGTACAACAGCTACGCAACAGTGGCGCCCTCTGTGAGCCGCGCTGACGCGGATGACGCGGCGGCAGGCGGCTACGTGCGCGGCGAGTTCTCGCTGTTGCCGCGGCGACGACGAGGCGGCGGCTCGGACAAGGGAAGCCTCCTGCCGGTCGCGGGCGCGAGAGAAGCGGGAGGAGAGCGTGACGTCGCCTGCGTCCCCACGCGTCCTCCTCCTCCTCAGCCTCCGCCGCCGCTGCAGCCGACGTCTTCGGCGCGTCGCCGCGACGATGAGAGGTTCGTGATAGAGGATGCGGGCGGGGAGTACGGGGTGACCGTGGACGGCACAATGACGGGGCGGCCGGCGCAGGAGACACATTGGGCGGGGCTAGATGACATGTACTCACAGCAGCAGCAGCAGCAACAACAACAGTGGCAACAGCAACAGCAGCAGTGGCAACAGCAACAGCAGCAGCAGCAGCAGCATCAGTGGCAGCAGCAACAGCATCAACAGCAGCAGCATCAACAGCAGCAGCAGCAGCAGCATCAACAGCAGCAGCAGCAGCAGCAGCAGCAGCAACGGCAGCATCAACAGCACCAGTGGCAGCAGCAACAGCATCAACAGCAACAGCAGCAGCAGCAGCCGCCGCAGCAGTCTCACCACGCCCAGCAGAGACAACAGTTGATGCAGACGTCAGGTTATGCAGCTGCCGTGTCTGCGAGATGTGCGCCTACTCCTAGACCCCGCATGCAGCCTCTCATAGCCACCGACCTAGGACTGGCCAACTCGGAGCGCAGGGAGCCACCTATACACATAGGAGTGGCTCAGCCCTACAGAAAACATGTGTGGCACAAGGAGGCAGGTAGGTGACCCGCGGGAACATCTGTTTACATGTAGGATTGGGACTTTTTATTTAACTGGGAACTGGGAAATACCGGATCAATTTTATTGACACCTCATTTTATTTTTATATCTATATCTTCATGGGCGTCCGTGTTAAATTATTCGTTTTAGTTATTTTTCTTATATATATATATATATATATATATATATATATATA